TGCTGTATGCTTTCGAATCAGTACTGTGACGTCATACACCAATCGTCTGTACTCTGTAACAGGCGCGGATTTATGGGCGGCCAGAGTGACAGGTGTCCCACCCAAACAGATTAATAAAAACAATTTAAATGTTTAATTTTCATAATAATAATGAATTAAGTTTGGCCATACGGCCCGCCCAACACTTTATATGATATGACAAGCGCTGAGCGCGTCCATCTCTGGCTCAGCGCCAGCGAGCGCACAGTTTGAATCTGGCAGTGATGTCATGTCACTGTACATATTTTGTCCAGACTTCGACACCCTTGCAAGGAGAGTAGACGAGGCTCATTGTTCACATTGGTAAGACAAAGAATAGGGCCCGTCCACAGATTGCGCACTCAATTTTGTAATTTCAAATGTACGTTCATAATGGAAGCAACGTTGTCGCGCGGTCTGGCGTCTGATTGACTTGTCAAACGCGTGCGTTTCGACAGTCAAGGGACGCGCGATTTGCCATAAAATATAATATCTTGACGACATTTATAAAATATAACATCTTGACCATATTTAATGTTAACATATATTGCATAAATATTTTTATGTATAAGTATGTGTGAATATGACAAATATTATGCCCAGAGCTTTCAATCATTTTTTCATGTATTCTTCGGATGTTCATGCCTATTCCACTAGGCGTTGTAAAGATTTGTATCTTGCCTTTTGTAGAACTACAGCTAATCAATCTACACTGAAATACAGAGGGAATTCCCTCTGGAATCATTTGGACCCTGTTTTAAAGACTACAATCACTATAAACACTTTTAAAAGAGAGCTGAAAAAAATGTTAACATATAATTAAGTTTATTTTGTTAATTTATTGTATTAACATGATTGATGTATTGATTATATTGTCTTGCTTGATCATGTAATTTTATGTCCATTTTAATGAGATTTTGGGGAAGTGGTTTATAAGACCTCATGTCTTCTCACTTTCTGCCGCACAGTTTTTTTTTTTTTCGTTAATGGACTTGTAAAGTTGTATTTTAAATGTTATATGTGCAAATAAATAAAATCTAAAAGCTCGCATTCTTAACGTGTGCTTTGTGGTCACGGAAAATGCGCATGAGAAACTCCGGGTTTGCAGCAAAAACGTGTGTCCTCGACGTGTGATCTGCTATTTAAACGAGATTGTTTCTGTCTGCAGGTGTTTTAGGTTAACAGCCATATATTGTCTTATTATTCGAAATAATTGAATTTATTGATCGAATTTAAGGAATTTAAAATGAAAGATGAAGCATACATTTAATTATATTGGGGGATGGATGCCTTTAACGGTGCAGAAATTACAATATGGTGATTTAAATATCAAAGCTGATTGATCACTCATGAGAATATTGTTTCAGAGTAAAAAAATAAATAAATAAAAAAATGCTTTCAAATCAGTACTGATGTCATACACCAATCGTCTGTACTCTGTACTGAGCTGCTTCATGTCAATCACTGTATGATGTATGCTTTCGAATCAGTACTGTGATGTCATAATCGTCTGTACTCTGTACTGAGCTGCTTCTTGTCAATCACTGCATGCTGTATGCTTTCGAATCAGTACTGTGACATCATACACCAATCGTCTGTACTCTGTAGAGAGCTGTTTCAAGTCAATCACTGTGTGCTGTATGCTTTCGAAACAGTACTGTGACGTCATACACCAATCGTCTGTACTCTGTAACAGGCGCGGATTTATGGGCGGCCACAGTGACAGGTGTCCCACCCAAACAGATTAATAAAAACAATTTAAATGTTTAATTTTCATAATAATAATGAATTAAGTTTGGCCATACGGCCCGCCCAACACTTATATG